ACGCAATACACACTTGGCCACGTGCGTCTACTCTCTCTCTCTTCTGTTTTCGCTCACGCTTACAGCGGTCATTCGCGAATCTCATGTGTTAACCGCGGTATCGAACATCTCAGATCATCATCGGAATTTTTTATATGTGGGAACTGTTCGGACTAAGACATCGGGACAACCATGGTTGGATTATTTTTTGTGCGCTGACCTGGGCCAATGACAAACTATTTTAAAGGGAACAATTATTGGGGAGTCTGTTCCATTTGAACCCTTTATCACTGTATACCAAATCTAACGTTATTTTTTATTTCTTTGCAACACACTCCTGGTAAAGTGACTTACTGGGTGGCCAGACAACTACAGATTTGGTGAGCCCGAGTCTTTATAGAATTTTTTTAGAATATTCCTTTCAAGTCGTTATAATTATTTTTCTTTTGCCCAGTCATTATAGAGGCACACTTTGATCCAGCGGATTTAGTCGAGAATTCAGTTAGCATATGTTTACCAGACTATAATCCCTGCATTCCAGGGGGCGGTTTTATCAGATCCAAGGTGTTATTTCTACCCGACGCATCACGGTCCCAAGCCAACCGATTTTTCTACGATTTTTCTTCCTTGTGATGTAGCAACAGAGGTAGAAGACCTGTCGGAAGATATTCCCAAAGAAAATCCCTATGATGCCCTTCGAGCGGCTGTCACAAGTAGGACAAGGAAGTCCCAAAACAAAATGCAACGGGACCTATTGACCACAGTCGAAGGTGATGACAGATCACCATCACAACTGCTTCGCCACATACACAGTCTTCTCTGCTGCCGTAAGCTAGCGGTGGAAATCATGGCACAACTATGGCTGGACAAACTTCCACCCTCTATGTTCCACGTCATCGGTGTTTTCTTTGATGACCGCATCTTGGAGATGCTAGCCTAAAGGGCGGATAATATCCAAGAAGACTACCCCAGTAACCCCGTAAACTCTGTCTTCCGCCCTACACCCACTACATCCCTAGGTTCCGATCCAATTCTTGCTTCCATATCACAGCTACAGGCCAAATTTGATACCCTGCTCGATCGACTACAACGGCTGGAGATAAACAAGCACCGATCGCGTTCACGCTCACGACAGCTCGCTGCTACCCGTCCCTCTTGGTGCTGGTATCAGCAAAACTTCAGTGCTCAGGCACGCCAACTCCAAACGTCTTGTCCCTTCAAGCCGCGTTCTAATAGCCCTTTAAACACCCCGGCCAGTCAGCAACGGCGACGACTGTTTGTGGCCCTCCTCGCACTAGTCGCCCGATCCACATCACCGATCGTTTAAGTGTTCTACGTTTCCTCCTAGATACGGCAGCTGAAGCTAGCAGGCCACCGCATAAGGATTCACTTTCCGATTCTGCTTCTCATTCATCACAAGCCGATTACGGTACCCGCATCGCTACATACGGCGAACGTTCCCTCACCCTTATCCTCGGATTGCGACGTGCGTTCAAGTGGATATTCCTTTTGGCCAACGTCCAAACATCCATTACTGTTGCAGACTTCATGACCCACTACAACCTATTCGTCGATGTTCGGCACAAACGTCTCTTGGACATGGCAACTTCCCTCCCAGTCAACGGGGTTAGCGCCCAACTTCATCCACAGTTATCCACAGGAACACGAGTTCGAGCACATGCTCGAACTTGAAATCATCCGCACTTCACCGAGTCACTGTTCATCACTTTTAAATATGGTACCCAAGAAATCTGAAGGTGATTGGAGAACTTGTGCAGATTACCGCTCTGAATAACGCCACTATCCCAGACAGGTATCCCATCACGCACATCCGCGACTTCTCAAGTACCTTATGCCTTGCAATCATTTTCACCAAACTCGATCCCGTACGTGCAAAGTAGCATGTACCCGTGTGACGGCAATACTACGGATGGGAAGGCACGCGAGTAGTATGTGTAGTTCGTGGAATTTCGCTGTGCGCCTTTTGAAAAGGAGAAATCTGATGCAGAATTCGTGGAGTCACTTTGTAACAATTGCTTGGTTTTGAGCGAGGAATGATTGGAGCCAAAAAATCTCATGGAAGTTCAGGAAGGCGCGTTCGGGAGATAATGGATATCCATTTTTTGTAAATAAGATGCAAATTAGAGTTTTGCTTCCCTGTCCAGTGGTCTGTAGCCGGTCAGTTGGCATTTCCTAATAAATAAATCCGTAGCAAAGGCCTCCTTCCTTTCATCCGTTGCCCCGGATGAAATCCCTAAAACAACCATTATAACACCGTTTTACCTTTTCGAATTCACGCATATGCCCTATGGTCTTCAAAACGCAGCTCAAACGTTCCAGCGTTTCATGAACGAAGTTTTACGTGGTTTAACTTTTGTGTGTACCTATCTAGACGATGTTTTAGGCGCTAGAACATCCCCAACCGAGCACACAGCTCCTCTCAGGCCAGTATTTGAACGTCTTTCCACTTACAACATACGTTTACGCAATTGACGAATGCTTGTTCGGTGTTTTTAGTCTAGATTTCTGGGCCACTACACTGACCCACCATTGTCCGATCGCAGTTCTGTCCTAGTAACTTTTCCCGTACCCACTATTATCACCCGACTTCATCGTTCCATCGGTATCGTCAACTGTTGTGGGCGGTTCATCCCTCATTGTGCAGGGAGGAGGACAAAATTCTCACCTTCCTAAAACTAGGCACCTATTCTGGCCCAACTATTACTTGGTTTCTAGATCAGCAAACGCATCCACCTCTCCCGGGTCCATTCAACTTGTTGCCATCTCCATTTAGATTTTTCCAACGACGCCTTTATATCTTGTGCCACCTGACGCTTGCCACACGCTACTGCTTTCATTCTACTTTTTCTTCTTTGCCCCTCTTCCCAAGCTTCAAACTTCGACTGCAGCTGCCGAAACGCCCCGTAGAACTGTTATTCTTTCAAAACGGCTGGTTCCTGGTAAACATTCACATGGTCCTTCACCGAAAGGGAAATTATCCGTGAGCCTGCATCCGCCGGACTGTGTCAATTTCCGTCTTACCCAGGACCAGGTGCTACGGAATTGCTTATCCCTTCTCCGGTCGCGGCACCCTTGTTGACCGTTACGGGGCTGTCCATAAACTGAAGCATTTCAGGGCAATGATGGCATACGGCAGTCATACTCAGTGTGCTACGATTTCGGCTTGCCTCTTCCACAAGTTCAAATCCGTATGTGGTGTTCTGGTCGCCTTATGTATTAGCACCTTGTCCCCACCCAACCTATCCCCTGCACCTGACTTCCCTACAACAGTGCAACCAGTGAGTTTGCTTAGTTCAAGATTAAACCACATTTTTGAGACAAAACTCGGTATATGCTACCGATTCGAATTATTCCATTTCCATTTTCACTTTTTCTCGTTGTGAGTCCGGCCATTTACCCAACCGCTCCTCCCGTGTGTGATTTCCAATTTTCAGTATCTGGTTATAACTTTAAAACACTACCACATCTTACACACACGTAACACGCTGAACATCGCATTCAGCCTACCTTTTAACAATTTTCGTGTCTGCCACATGGGTTTGGGCTTCAACTAACCCATTGTTCATGTCAACGTATTGTCACCCCTTTTGCAAACTACCTAAAAGTCAACCACTTATAACAAGGCCTCTTTCTGAGTATGGTGATAACCTTCTTGAGTTATGGAAGGTTCACCCCATCTCATTGCGCTACCGAGCTTTGGACATTCACCAACCTATTTTGAACTTTGTTCACTTTCCCCGCACCTTTTCTCCCCTTAGATGCCAATGGCCGCGCAGTTAGCGAACCTACTTTTAACTGCATACCCTCTTCCCAAAGGCCCTTTCTACAACATGTTGAGCCCTGTCGCCACCTTCTGTGGCGCAGAAAACGGAAGATTCAACAGAATGCTGCTTTTGTAGACCGCCTGTCGCGCTGGCTTGAGCTAACCCTGGTTGCAGCACGTATTGTGGAGGTGACTTCCATGAATCCTAAACATCAATTGAAGCGAACTGGAAAATTCCGTTCCATGTATAATTCAACGGGGGCACACTAAATGTACGCTGTGCGACGCGTCTGATGCAGTTCGTTTTGCAAGGCATCCAAGCATTTCCCTGAGCTGTCTGCGCCCTGATGTATCATCATCGTACAATCGCGAAAAAACGGTTCACATCGAAGTTTACTTGATCTGTTTACTCGGCAAGCTTCGAACCACTGATTCATGTAGATTGACTAAGCATCCCATATTAGCTGGCACCTCTTCACGCGCGGCACACGCACACCATATATACGGTTCACTGAAACCCCTAACACAACTTTTTCCCCTCTGCTCCCACGCTTCAGTACATAATAGCCCCACTTAATCAAGTGCATTCCAGCTAACCAAAAACCTTTACACGATTTAACAACGAGGGCATGCACGCTTCATCCGCGAGCTTCGAACCGCCCACTAACACGTCACCGTTCCCAACACAATGTCGTGGACGATTGCACAAGTCGCTATCGTTTAAGTTACGCCGAATTCGGCTGATGCAGGTTCCTCGTATTCACATACGGTCAAACACCTTTGCATCAACGGCATAAGGTCACTCCCTTATACATCCCTCTGAATGTCGATTACCGATTTGGAAGATTTTCACGATTCCCATGCGAATAATAACTACCTTGACAGCAACAACTGCCTCTTTCAAGGCGTTCAGGTGCTAGTTGTCCCTGGAGTGAAGTATGGTGCTGTGTTGCGGTACCAGGGCTGATATACCCAGCCTGATAGCTGGCCCGCAGGTCATCATGTGTCTGCTATTTCTTGGCCTAGAGTGTTCCGTGCTCCAAAAAGACCGTGTCACCACGCTTTAGTTGCACTACACCCCCGAAGTACTTACACTATCTACTCGCACTGACCGTGAACAAAATTAATATCACCACGGCACCATCACGGAGACGGGTTGAAGCTAAGGGTAAGTCTAGGCGTGCAATGAACACGGAGCGTTAACTTTCATAAAAAGATCCGTCGTTATTGCTAGTCACGGCAAATTCCTTGGCTTCTTCGGTGAGAGGCCGGCTCCAAGGAAGTGGAAGTTTCTTCCATCCAAGCCACCAATAGCTGCTTCATTTTGAGTTCGCAAAGACAAAACGACGTCCTTGTAGTCCATATAATCTGTCAAAATATTTCCGAATAAAATACAGGAGAAAACATGTGAAGAAACCAGCATTTTCGCAAAATTTCCGCTCGTCCTCACGAAGGCATTATGCCGACCCATGGCAGCCATTATAAATATGAACTCCGTGCCAACTTCGGCTGTGTGTACGCTCAAACAAGTTTTAGCAAAAATCGCGATTGTTTGGAATGGTTTTGAGGTTTTGAGTATGCACCTCCAATGCTGAAAGTTTATGGGCCAGCTTCCTGGGCTCAACCTATGGTGTCAGAGAAATATGGGATGAACGTCCAAAGATCAACCCGGATCATATCAATGTTACTACGCAATGAAATGCGTTCCAAAATTATGGAGAACGGTTGATTAACGAAAACTTCAAAGAGTAAAACAGTGCATATTGCGTTTAGTTTGAGAATGGATATAGTATAATTGGAGTTTTCCTTCAACACACTGGTTTTGAAGCCAGTTTTACGTGCCAGATTTAGATCATCGTTGCGGTAGCTGCTAACAAAATGCGACCCATAATTATTTTAGTGGAAACTATGTAGTGCTCCCACACTCAGTCCCCTTTTTCCAGCTTCATGGACCTAAAAGTCACGCCTAGTTAAATCTACTCCACGTACCACCGCCGATCCCTCCAAGGTTCTCTCGGTGCCAACCTCGCACATGGGCTATGTTTAGAGCCAATGGCCGGCCAATATACCTATCAATAATGCCGACAATATCCACTGAGAACTAAAATGAAATAAGCTTTTGTCGAACTGCTGTTCTGAAGCCTTAATTTAGTCATGATTTTGGAATAAGTATTTAGTGATGCACCAGTAAGACAGGAAATAGACTGCGGTAGGATAGAAAATGCTGCTAAAAAGACGACAGTATTGTGATACCCTTAAAGAAGGCCGCTCATTAAAACCTGCCTCTTTTCCTTGGGCTAAAACTATGCTCTGCTGTGGTCAATTCATCTCGTAGACAAGCAAAGCAAATATGCACAAATATCCGATTCATTGTCTCGCTCTGCACTTATAATTCCTCCAGAGTCACCTTACTTCCAGGATTAGTTAGCGCTCATTTCTGCGCGGCCAATAATGTAAGAAAGTCATGCATATATCCAGTAGACAATGTGACGCCCACCGTTACTTCTATTCTCCCTCACCCACTTCCTGAATGGGCCTCACTGACCCGTCCCAAAAGCAGCCTCTGATGACATTCTTCCTCCGTTTTTAACCACAGCGCACTCCGTGACAATTGCCAGCTAACCTCCTGGACAAAAAAGCTAGCCACATAGGTGCGCACGCTTAAACCACGATTAAACGATCTGCTTCTCATATACTTGTCTACTCCGACCAGCCCCATTGATGAATACACACATGATATGGCCGTGGTGGCAGTTAATTCAGCAAGTATAGTCCCTCATATCCGGTCGCACTGATCGAAGGTCACCATTCCACACGATCCTTGCCCAAACACTCAGTGGTTTTGAGTGCCTGGGTAGTTTTGTGTGGCCGGGTAGTTTTTCCACACTACACTAATTAAAATTTTAGGCATTCGCAGCTGCTTGCTCTTTTGGGTGACAGCCCGACTTGTATCTTAACGCCCTCTGGTAAACCCCTTAGACTCTTGTTCCATTCTATGTTCGCGATCTAAATACGGCCGTCTCGGAGCCTTGGTGGAATGACACCAATAAAACACTCTACGCTTCCGTTGGACACAAGAACATCCTAACTTCATACTGGTCCCAATTTCTGCGCTACTTAATCGGATCCCAACTACCCGAACTACAAAAGCTGACTAACAAAGGATGATCATGTACGTGTCGATTCATTTATTGAACTTTGTTATTGAACAACGCCCATACCACTTTAGTTGCTCTTAACCTGAATATAAGCCTTCTTTGACCTTGTCATCGGGCGTGTAGCACTTGCAACATGCTCTTTTTCATGCTCGGCATCATCTTTTCCATCATTATCGGTCACATCGCTGTACAAAAGTTTGTTTTACTGAAATACAACCGCTACCGCCCGCTTGTTGACTCGAACGTGACTTTGAGACTTTTGCTGAGTGACTGTGGTGGTGACCGCCGGTTGGCTATATTTGACCGCTGCTAACACTAAACGTGAACAGACATTTTAGCTACAAACACTGGACTAACATATTCACACTTGTGGATTAATATTTCGATCACCGGACATCTGGAATACCAGGAAGATAGGACTACTCTTGGTGTGATGGTTCAACGGAATACGGAAATACGGAATCTCCTATTTTAAACTGAGTCAAAATTTACTTGGATTTTTCTCCTTGTGACTTTGTATCTGGCTTACATCAGTAATTTGTTCAGTTCACTAGAGACTCCATGGGGCCGTTAACCACTACAGGCGTGTTGTTTACGTCAATACGTGGACTTAAGTAGGTGCGAACATTCGAATCCGTCAGGAATCAGAAGTTCCTAAACCGGTGCATAGGAGCCGACGCGGTCCCACGATTTATTATTGAATTTATAGCGCATCATTTGGTGGTCAACCTTCAGTTGAAGGAGTTGGCCTTTTGTCTTGCGCGTAAATCAACTTGTCCCTAAGGATCGCTGGAAATATTTCATAGAACGCAAGTCTAGAAATCAAATATCAGTATTTTATGGATCTCGGACGCCAAGTAAACAGTGCCACCGGTGGCTAACGGTGGCCAAATGTGGCTAGCTTTGCCACTGATTTTGTTAATGAATACAAGCCAAACATAGCATTTGTTGCATAAAAGCCTTCTGAAAATAAATGTAACAGGATACTCAGGATACTGGAGCTCTATTTACAAAGTAATTTTTGAAACCGATTTGTTTGAATGCACCACCGATTAAATATATCATGAAATTTTTGGGTTGCCACCTTTGGCCGCTTTTAGCCACCGGTGGGTCCATCGGTGGAAAGTGTAACATGCCACCCCCATTTGCCACCTCTTGGGCGTTTACTGAATTGTAATTTTGAATTTTGGAATTAACACGACCAGAACAGGAAGTGGCAAGTTACTCAGAACTTAGTCGAACCTAGAATTTATTAACTTAATGAAGGATAATTAAAACATTGTTGACCGTGACACTTGCATTTCTCAGCCTCCCTTGTTATGTCAACATTCCCCCCTAGACCAAACGTGGCTGGCAGCGTAGGGTCCAGCAGGGAATACGGTAATAGAAAGACAAAATCGGGAAAGAGATTGCAGAAGAGATGAAGGAGCTAGAAATTAGAAAGCGGAAGTTAGCGTCCAGGAAGCAGATGTTGTTGTTTTATGAGCCCTTCGATAATGAAAACTCGATATCCGGCTTCTACAAATGTGGTTTTTCATCCAACCAACAGAAGGTTGAGCAATTTGTAGCAAGGGTCAACTCAGAAGAAATGGAGTGCACACAGTCTCTACAAATTGGCCTGGGACTCGAACCGCGGCGCACGAAACAGTTGGAATACATGTTGATGCCAGGGCCCAACCTGCTAAAAATAGGGACGGATAAGTTCAGTGGGAATCCGGTAGAATTTTGGAAGTCCATGAAAGCGTTCCAAACCAGCTTAGCTGATAGGGTTCCTAATGACAGCAACGAAGTTGATACACCTTCATTATTGCCGTGAGGAAGTGAAAGAGGTCGTCGAACACCGCATGTTCCTCACTGGAGAGGCAGGCTATCAAAAGGTCATGGATATTACCGGGGCGCAGTTCTGCAGGCCGCACGACGTTGCACAGTCGTTCATGAACGAACTACCAGTTAAAGGATCCATCGCTCCTGGATACGTCGGCGCCTTGCGAAGGCTTATAAGGTAAATGGTGAACTGTGAACTGGCATTAAGACAGATGCATTATAAGGAGAACTGAAAGTGCTCAACAAAACTCAAGCGTAAAATAGAACGTCTACCTTGGAACTTGCAACAAAAATAGGCTGAGGCGGCAGACGACGTACCACGTTCGGGACCAGAGCTGCAATTTGATCACCTGGTATCCTTTCTTGATAGAAGTGTATCCATCGCTTCCAATTCCCACGGTGTTAGTGCCAGTTCAAGAAGATATGTTAATCAGGTAGGCAGGTTAGGCTTAGAATAGCCACCCAGAAAAGCCCACATCAACGTCGTTGCTATGAAACCGAGTATAGATTGTCCTTAAAATTCACAGTCTCACAGCCTTTCAGGATGTGATGCGCTTAACACCCTACCTCGAGTCGAGAAGCTGGGTGGACTGAAAGGCATCAAGTTCCGCTTCACTTGCCTAGGGCCCAATCATAGAGCATTTGAGTGTCGTGTTCTTACACAGTGCGACTTCTAGAATTGCAGCCAGCGACTTCACCGTCTGCTTCAAGGCACACAACGAATGGTGAATAAGTCTACGAAAGATGCCAACGTCAACTCAACGGTAGTTTGAGGACTCCGGAGCCATCTTGTTTTCATACCAGTTCATCTGATTGGGCTAAAATGGACTGTCCTGACTCATGCTCTCTTGGGCAATGGTTCTGATGCCAACCTGCTAACGGTCGACGCGGTGGAGGAGCTTGGGATAGAGGGAGAAGCGACGCACATAGAAGTACCATCAGTAAATTGTCCCAACATCAAATTTACCACGAAAGTCAGCTTTGCCATACAGCCTTGGCTTAACGGTTGTGTTTTGGACGCCGACTGTGCTTACACTGTCGGGTCACTTCCCATCACCGAGACTATAATTACGGGTATTTTTTGCTGAGCAAATGGATACACTTTGTGAGTGTTCAGCTGCATGCATTTTCGGAAATGGCAGCTAAATTTTGGTAGGACCAAATGTCACAGTCTCCCACTGGGTTATCGAGCAACCTATGGGTTCTCCGAAACATCCCTACACACATCTGGCGGACTTAAGATGGGCTATTTTCGGACCAGACCCGCATGCTGGAACCACAGACGTCTACCATCTTAAGGTGCACCCGTCAGGGGGCGCTTCTTCCCCATTGTATGCTGCTTTTTTCTCTGCGTAGTGTTGCTGATGTCAACAAAAATGTTACTGTCGAAAAAACAATTTTGGCAGTAAAGATAAACATTCACGCAGATGATTGCATTGCATCAGTGGAATCTGTAGATATGAGTCTGGGCGGATCTCGTTTCATAAGTGGGTAGGTAACAGTCCGGAAGTCTTGAATATCATGACCATCAGTGAACAAACATCCGAGCTAGTCAACCTCGACACTTCAGATTCGAGTTTGCACAAGAAAATGGGTCTGTCTTGATATATCCAACCCGAATGCCTCCGATAACAGGTCGGTCTTCCAGAACACCGAGCGATCAAACGTGGTCTACTTCATGTTTTCTCTGGTGCCATGAAGTCAACTGCATCTAAACACACAAGACCGCACAATCCTCCGTTGATGGCGAATTTACCTTGGATTCTCCCATAGTTGAGGATGGTATTGGGCGAACATGGATGCCCTGTGGAACAGCTGGGAACGCCTATCGGTGACGACGGTGTCCATTAAGGGTAATACGAAAAATTTACTACCCAGCGAGGAAACACTGTCTGTTACTGATAAGTCTGTACACTTTCCCTCAGATGAGACACCTGAGGACTCTGCTCTACCGGCACCAGAGACCAGCGAAGCATTGGTTGTAATGGGTATTCCTAATTTTGTAGCCGTGGGAATGTTACTTTAAAAGTTTCCTTGAGGTTGTCCACCAGGTTCATGCAATCTTCTGGACAAAGGAAGTCGCAATCGGTACTTAACGCCGCCTTCTTGGGGTTCTCAAGGTCAACTTCAGATACTACCCCTACTGCGTTACAAAATAAAAACAACAGAAAAGGGCCAGAGTGCGACCGAGTGACATAGAAAGCTGAGCGTACGGTATAGAAGGAGTAATTTGCCAGTGAAGATAATGCATATGAAAATGAATTAGATAAGTGCGTTGGATAAGAAGATGGGACAGAGGATTTGAGCGGTGAGGAGATACTGGCGAGAAAACGGTAACTCCACCCCACCTAAAAAACCAAATTGGAAGTCAGAACAGAGATTTTGGTTCACACTGGAATGAGGCACCGAACTTTTCCCCTCAATGGGTCATAGGCTCCAGTGGCAGATTTCGTGGTTGTCCAGATCGTGAGGGTCACGATAGCGGCCGAGTTCTGAAGTGATGGCAATATTCGGGAAATGTCAGTAAATAGTACCTCGGACAAGATTGGGCATGGCATACATCACAACTACTCTCTGCAAAGAGTAGAGGACAGATAGTAGCTCAAGTACTCCAGGCGCATGCTCCGGATCGGGAGAAGCATTTGCAGCTGGAGCAAATTTTTGTTGATCTCTTTGTTGCATGAGGTGGACTGAGTTAGCAGACTGTTGAGAACCATGTTGGCTTTGAAGGGTGGTGATTTTTCCTTCCTTATATTTTTTATATTGTACAATGCAATTCCCCTTTTCGTTATTTAGTTTTGCGTTTATACCGCCTTTATTGCTTTTGACCTGAATAAAGACCGTTCTTTGACCTTGTCATCGGGCGTGTTGCTTGCGTCAACACGTGGTTTCGCAATCTTGTCAACACGTGGACTTAAGTGGGTGCAAACTTTAGAATTTGTTAGGAATCAGCAGTTCCTAAACTGGTGTATGGAAGCCGACGTTGTACCACGATTTGAGGTTTGTAAATTTTCATTATTTTATTATTGAATTTGTAGCACAGCATTTGTAGATCAACCTTCAGTTGGAGGATTTGGCTTTTAGAGTTCTGCGCGTAAATTAACTTGGCCCCACGGATTGCTGGAAATAATCTATATTAGGGAGCTCTCCACAAACCCGAGAATGTCTTTTCAATGGCGGTATTACGATTGTCATACCCAGGCTAATTGCTGCATGTAGTTCGCCTCAGCTTCCGATTTATCGACCGATCACAAACCACTTTCAAACTGTTGACTCTGCCAAAACTCTAGAACACGGGCCACTTTAGTACACTGTTTACTTGTTCCGCACATATCGGCAGGATCATATCCCCGAAAGCAACTACTGAATGCCCGAAATTCACCGAGACCCTCAGCTCCGCTGGATACTAACCAGACAGACAACGCCCCCTCAATATGCAACGCGTCACAGCCTTGTATTGAAGCTTGACCACGTGCGGATTGGAAAGTGTGCGTGCAGACAGTGTCCCTCCAATAAATAGCTTGAGACCGTTGTGTTTTCTCTTTCGCACGCACTCTCACTCTCGCACTCGCTTGTTCGGAATATATCGGTTATGTTCCTTTCTTTGGGTCTCTTTACGACACTAGACCATGGAGCGGGTCAGCAGTCACATGCAACATATTGGCGAATCAGCAGATATGATAGCCCATAAACTCACTAGTTAGGTATATTGTGGTGTCAAGAGGTAGGTATACCGGTGAAGATAAAAGGCCACCATGCTTATGTCATGAACAGTTCATAATACGTAATAACTGTGTCGACTTCCTCGTTTTTTCTGATGGAGTACCACCCCATCGATAAAGGGATTTTTCTGACACAAACCTCCGCTGACTGCTTCAATCCGAGTTTGCACGGAAAAAGGTGACGTAATTATTTTTCAGGTACTCCCAAAGTATTTTTGTATCCAATGCGGAACACACCTGAAGAAAGCATCTTTACGACATTCTACTTGACCTAATGGAGAAAATGCTGTCAGTAATGGCAGCTAACAAAAATATACATTCCACCTTTGGTAGGCTTAAACTACAACTGTCCTAGAAAATTTTGAAGTTTTGGATAAATAACTTGAAGGGCTAAAACTGCATGTAAGTCTTCCTTCTTTCACACAATGGCTTCAAAATCCTTTTGGATGTGTTCAGGCGTAGGCGTTGCAATCCTTGTTTGTCGTTTTCTTCTGCAGCCGACGATGAGATGCAGTTATGGGCGTCACATTTTCGCCGAATAGTTGCACTGAAACATGCTTCTGGGTCACCGCCGTCATAGAAGTAAGAATGTTACATTTGCTTGTGAGTGTGTTTCATTTAGATTTTCGTCTATATCTGGGGACTTATGGATGAAGAAGAAATGTGGTTCCCAATTTGACTTCACAATCGAGAACACA